TCTGATATTTCCAAAGATTAGGTGGGATTAAAAAATAAGTATGACTTACCGCATGATATTTCAAGGTTCTTGAATTATTTTAAAGGATTTTTCAAGATACAGTGAGACCCCAAAATTTGGACATAATTGGTGCGTCAACAGTGTCCCGAAGTTTAGTCTTGCTTTCCCATAGACTTACATTATATAATTTTAATTGGTATTTCATGGAAGAAATATTCTTCAGAATTCCCTGGAAAAAAACTCGAAATTATGATGTGTTCAATTCCCTCTAAAGTGGTGTATATAGTTTCATGTCCCAATTAGTGCCATAAGAGCCATTTTAATGAAAACTTCACTCAAACAAAAATTGACAGGCAACTCCTTTCACTATAAGCTGCTGATCTTTATAGAGCTGTTCTTGAAAGGATGAATGAGGTGCAGGACCAGTACAGTCAACCCTCCACAAAATTGAATTAATTTGTGCAACTACTTGAATTTGAATTAGTGAATACATTTTCAACTCAATAAGAACATTTGGAACATTGAATAGTGTATCACTGTACTGTACATTGAAATGTTGACATCTACAAAAATGAAATTCAAGTAAAAAAAAGTAGAAGTTCCTGTATGCTGGAGGTAATTTTTCAAAATTAGCTAAATGGATGGTAAATTGGTGAGATAAATGCCCTAGAACTTTTCTTACGTCAATTTTAAGGTTGGGAATATCTGTTTCTTGTAATTTGGTCTGAAATGTGTTAGCAATTTCAGCACAAAATGTCCCTATGTCAAGTCAGTGCCCTCATGTTGGGCCTTTTTATGAATTTTTTCTGGGAAAATAAGTGCCACTTTGTCAAATTGTCCGCAGGTTGAGGTGTCTGCATGTGGGGGTCTCACTGTATTCTATTTACTGCATGAAGAAAAGTAGAAACTTTCCAGGGAGCTAGTTATTTGCCCGCATGTGACCATGCTGTCATAGAGAGCTGAAAATATACCAGGCCAGCTAAAAAACATAAAAAATTTACCCTACATTTTTCTGTTTATTATAATGGTTAAAACATCAACAAAAGTTACATTGTTTAGCAAGCTGGGCACATTTTAGGACCCTGTGACATGGGTGGATTACTTTGCTTATAACTGGAAAGTTCTTGCTAATTATCAGGCAGGATATTGAAATTGCTTTCAATCCAGAAGAAAATATCCCCAAACCTGAGAGCATTATGGGCTATGCCATAATTTCTTTTTCAAATCACACTTACTGTAGAAAAAGCATAAACCGCGTCCAACAGGGACAACCCTTGCATCCTCTTTTTGGGTGTCCTTTTATGGCAAGAATTCTGCATTCAGTACAAGGATTGTTCCACTTGGATCATATCTAGACTAGGTATAATGGCAAAGAAAAAATACTATATAGCCCACAATGTTGTAAGGTTCTGGAATTTTTGTTAGTTTCTTATGCAGAATTTCAGATTTACTGAATGTTGATGAGTGAAAATTTTAAAGTTACAGTAAGAGTTCAAAAACCCAGTTGCAGGGTACTAAAAATTTGTCAGGCCAGCTGAGAATTGAAATTTCTCTTTTTTGCTGCAACCATCATCCAAAATGCTGAAAATATAGTGGTCAGCCCTTTGGTTACAGTGCCAAATAAGATATTTTGCAGGAATTCCTCAATTGACGTTTTTAAATTCAAAAATATTGCACTATGGCAAATACTGCCTAAGTTGGGAAATATCTGTACATTCTCTTCTATCTGTGGAAAAAAACGTTTTTGGGAAGCAGAAAACCAAGCTCTCCCATTGTTGCATTTTTTTCAATCTTCAGCCATTAGATTTACTCAGGGGGTCAGTTGGACTTGGCAAATTTTCCTCTCCTGGCTTATCCAAATATTTTCCAGCTTAGGCTGCTCATCTGCCTTGGTGCCAGTTTTGGTTACCTTTAGTCAATATGAAATGCACTAACCTGCAAAATAATCCCAGCACAGCCGTATAATGGAAAAGAACCCACCACCAAAACGAGTTTTGATAAAAAAAATGAAGTTTTAGCAGGCTTCATATATATTTTTTTTTTACCCAATGAAATGGGAAGACAACCCGCCCTGACTGACACTTGACAGTTTTCATTCCTCATTATGCAGTAACTTCAATTTTTCAAATCCTAAAGAAAATCCCACAACCTTAAATCGTACATGGGCTGCATAATAATTTTTTTTTTTACAAACATGCCTACTTCAAAAATAACCAAGGTTGTGTCCAAGTAGGACAACCCTAAAGTAGAAATATTACACATCGACTCATATATCAATGATGATTACAGTACTAATAACTACACAAAGACCAAGACATGCCCTTCAAAAAGTACAGAAAGCATGCAAAAGAATATAAAATGAAATCCTGGGGCACGTCCCACCATCAAAAATCTCATTACCCCGTTTTCCTTGGGAGGACAATCCCCCCCCCCTAATTTGGCAGCATGCTCCTGTGCGTGACACCGGGTCAGGTATGGAAACNTTTCATGATATGAAGTGATTGAATGTCCTGGGGGGAGTTGAGTTGGGTGGGGAGGGGGTTTGGATGCGGGAGTTTTGGTTGTGCCTTGTGAACGCTGAAAAGCGGCAAATAAAGTTTTCTGTTCATTCATTCATTCAACAACATGAATTTTTGTATACTGTAATACTTTTTAAATTACTGAACTTCAACCCTACGGTACTATGCCAGCCAGACATGTTCCCCAACCCAAGGTCAACAGACCAGCACATCTCAGCAGAATTTTTTTGCCAGTCTGTGGGAAATTTTTCTGCAGCATAATAAATGTATCAAACTTAGCTTTGAAGTCTGTTATCCTTATCTAAAATTATGGGAAGATAATGGCAGTTGGAAATATCTGATGAAAAAATACAAGTCCAAATTTCTCCCTATAATGCTTCCGACAAATTTTCACCAGCTGAAATAAATCATTTGAATGTTTATTCTCACAAACCTTTCTTCAGGCCCACCTTTCTAATTCTTTGAAGACATTCCATTATAGCTGCTTCCCTCGTTCCTAATTTTTCAAAAAATACAGAAACTTTTTACACACATCCAGTAAGTCATATGATCAATGCTTTTTGAGTCTGCCATTTAAAGAAAAAAACAAAAATTTACTGGTCTGTTATGGCCCAAAAAGGCTGTGGGACACTTTATTACAGTATATGCACACCTACAAATACAGGGCATATGCGCAGCATAAGGAACCAATCTCATGAAATTCAACAATCCAAAGGTCTCACATAGGGAAAATTATAGCTGTTATTCAGTTTATGAAATGCTGCGAGTTTAAAAATATGAATGTACTTGTGCAGCTATTTCATTAAAATACAGCATGCATAAGCTTTGCCCATAGATCGTTCGCATCTTACCTGCAGATTTTAATGCGGACTTCAGCCGATTTCAAGAGTCAAACATAATAGTAAAGATCATATGCATCAACAAGATTCAGTGGAGCTTTATTGATGCAAGATGTTTGACATATAATCCGACGCCATTTCGATGCTGGGAATCGTCATCCGAAATCCGAAGAAGAACATGAAGAGAACGCAGCGTAGGTCCAGAAGACTCTCCAGAGACAGATTTTGATCGATTTCGTCAGCGTCTCATCTAGTTCGTTATTTATTTGAGCCTCAGAATAAGAGCACATCCTTGCTGTTGTGCGACAGAGAAAAGCAATAAGATAGCCATGTAGAAGTACCACTTCACAACACAAGAGATGCTCACTACGTATAACTCTGATATATTCCGTATGGCACAACACGGCTATTCAAAATCACAAACGCTAGCAGATAAGACGGAATTGACTTACAGTATAGTCATTCCTGAAAGCATACGAGAGCTGTTCACAAGATTGAAAACAAGGAGAGGAATCTTCAAACTCAAAAAAGTACATAGCTTTCAGCAATTTATTTTTTCTGAAGATTAAGCTCCTGAAAATACAGTAATTCACTCTGTCGGTGGAAGGATTCGTCAGCGACAAGGGAACTCAAGTACGGCAACGAATTCTTCCACGTTTCACGAAAAAACACATGTTACACCTGAAACAGACCTCGAAGAAATTCAAGTCCTCTTGAAAATGGCAACAGGAAGCTAATGACTGTTTATTTCCTCTGAAACAAAAGCTCCTCCCAAAGGAATGGGTCCGATCAAGCACGCTGATGACTATGTTTCCTCCAGTCTATAATCGTCAATCTCACTTAACATGCCAGCAGAAAATTTCCTGGGATAGAAATAATTTGAAAGGCTTTGTAAATTTATCAGAATGTTGTTTTTGGTCAATATTTTGAAGAGATTTCCCAGAAAACCGATCCAAAGGCTGAGCCTCATGCGCTACCTTCGCTGCTTAACCATGAACATTGGCAAAAGGATCGAAAGGTAACTCAAGAATACGAATCGAGTCAAACCTGGTTCAGAAACACAGAGTTGACTTCATGCACAGTATGTTTTTGAAAGTACATCAAGATTTCTGCCTAATAAGATGGAAGGCTGATCGTATTTCCTCACCCTTTGACCTTTTTGACACGAAACCGTCCAGGAAATCTAGGCCTTCGAGTGAGGATTCGCGAACATATTATTCATCCTGTAACATTGATCTTCGTCGAAGATGCTATATACTCGGCGGAAACATTTCACTCCGAAAGGAACAGTCCATCGTTGTCATCTGCATTGAGTACCACTTGCGGTGGAGATTTGTGTCCCAATCTCCGACCTCTAAAACGAGTATCATTTGCATTAAGCAGATGTATGTTGATCTTCCAGGGCTTCTATTTTCATAACTACCGGTACTTTTGTTGCGCGATTCTATACGGACAAGCAACGTTCAAAACAATCTTCTTGGTCCTCAAATGCATCTGACATGCAATGAAATGTCGTGTTTGGTTAACTTGACACTATTTACGTCTTCACTCCGCAAACTCGGCAAATGGTACATTGATTACATCCGTTAACTGCAAGCTTCAAAAATATCAGAATGAAATAAAAGCAGTGAAGTTCAGGAAGTTCGTCAACCATAAAGCTATATTCGGAATATACGAAGGTTTTCATAAATAGCGTAGACGAGCAGTGTCCAACAAGTGAGGTAACTTTTTGGAGCGAACGATATCTTCCAAAGTTAACACGTAACACACTTCCAAATACAGTATCACAACGAACAATGCATGAGGGATCGATACTCGAATAACGAGAATGGAAATGAAGGCAAGAAATATAATTTAGAACCCGCCATGAGAAATCACGCCGGGGTGATTTTGTATCAGTTTCTCCAGGCGAAATCGTATCAACATGAATTAAATTTTACCAAACTCGAGCAATTTCATTGATTCATTCCGCAGTAAATTCCGAACTGGGTAGAACAGCGTTCACAAACTAATTCAATTAGATGGAGCGAGTCGAATGCATTCAACGCCGGACTTCAGTTACAGGGAATCCTTAGTTGCATAACGATTTCTCCTCACAACACGTCGATCTACGACTGCATTCTGAAGGATTACATTACACCAGATTTCTGCATCCGATTGCTCACCTAGTCTGGTCACGAAAGGTGAATCGTGAAAATATATCGCTCATGACAAGTGCTCACGTGGATGAAGCTTACCGTAATAAGAAGGAAAACAGAAAAATCGTTTATTTTGATCTTATCTTTTTATTCCTATGCCCAGGTATTATAAGCCAGTGCCACAGACAACTTCAGAACAACAAGCGAAGATGCATGATTGCAAGGGATACCCATCTAGCTCATAAAGTGGCGTTTAAAGCAACGAAAGATAATCGCAGCATAAAATTTGATCGAGTTTTCTCGCATCGCGCTGCAATAACCCAGATCACGGAACCTTTCAGGACTCCATTTTGGTTTCGCTATTCTTCCCAGCATCCTTCTCAGGATTATCACCACCGCCCGATGACAGGGCTGGGAAAGGAGATTGAGTAATCGGGACAACACGCTCGTTGTTGGTCTGCACTGGAAGAGGCTTTGGAGCTCTTATGGCCAGCACTCCATCCGACGAAAGCGAACTAGTCACAGCTTCAGCCTTCACTCCTTCCGGAAGCTGATACTTGCGAACGAAGTGGCGCTGGATGTACCCATGTTCGTCCTCTTTCTCTTCATGTTTTCCTTCAATGACAACGTAATTGTCGACCGTTTTCACTGATATTTCTTCGGGTGTGAATTGCTGAACATCCAAGCACACCTGCAACACGAACACTCCACTAGACACAAGTTTTCGCAGCTAGACCGGAGTTTCCTCGCCCTCACCTTGAACTCGTCTTTGTCGTTGGACACTTTCGACAAACCACGGTCCAGACGAGATGGCTGAACTTGGCTCCTAGCTGAAGGGACCAAACTGAGGTACACATAATCTGGGGTGTTCAAAAATCGATTACGCGGGATTAAGTCCTCGTCCAGCAAGTTTTGCCCGAAGAACTGATCGAATAGTGTATGTGACCTCGGCACATTATCATGCCACGCAGAGAAAAATGGCACCATTCCAAAGCGAGCCATTCCAAGAGCCTGTAAAAACGTAATACTGTACATCAACGCAACGCCCACATTTCTCGAGAATCTCGAGTAACTTACCTGAAATGTTTGCCGCCCAAACGCAACAATCACTATATCCGATTATCACCTTTTCTTCGTTAGCTTCTCCTCTCGCATCAACTGGATCTGATGATAGTCGACCCCGCAACCCTCGCGCTTATATACAGCATTCCTACGGGTTTCGCGTCCGTTCCAGAATATTCCAGACAGTACCCGACTTGCGCACACTTTCATCATCCCAGTGGATCTCCGAGTTTCTAGTGCATTCCCGAATACACTCACATAATCCACCTGCTTATCCGACGAAATTCCACCGCACAAAAAAGACATGTTCCTCCGTGACACCTTGGGACGCAGCAGTGCTAAGATATGCCTCAATTCATGGTCGGTTTTCGAATCCAGAATTTCTTCATGAAACATCATGCCTCAAAGTTCCGGGTATCTTCACACACTTGACGAAGTATGTTTCGAATAATTTTGACTAGATGTCACTGTTGTCTAACTTTAAAACAACTTTGGAAGGGGCACCCGGGATAAGGTGCACTCGTATAACATGCCCGCGTGTCCGCCTGTTCACTGCGTCCGCCTCCTGGTCTTTCCTTGGGTGACTCTTTTGCTTTCATTAAAATATACATGTTTAAAATCTACACATGCATTGAAATATTTAAATTGGGTTAGGTTAAGTTGTTAGGTTTGGTTAGATTGTTAGGTTAGGTTGTTAGGTTAGGTTAGGTTAGGTTGTTAGGTTAGATTAGGTCAGGTTGTTAGGTTAGATTAGGTTAGGTTGTTAGGTTAGATTAGGTTAGGTTGTTAGGTTAGATTAGGTTAAGTTGTTAGGTTAGATTAGGTTAGGTTGTTAGGCTAGATTAGGTTAGGTTGTTAGGTTAGATTAGGTTAGGTTGTTAGGTTAGGTTGTTAGGTTAGGTTGTTAGGTTAGGTTGTTAGGTTAGGTTAAGTTATTTTAATGCTTTAAATATTTTAATGCTTTAAATATTTTAGTGCATATACTGTATATATTTTAAATATGTATATTCTAATGCAAGCAAAACCCAAGGAGTCGCCCAAGGAAACACTGGTTGCCCCCAAAGGAAAGACCGGGAGGCGGACGCAGTGAACAGGCGGACACGCGGGCATGTTATACGGGGGCAGGTTATATAGGGTGCCCCTTCGGAAAGTTGGAAACTTTGCATCAACAGTATTTTACACAGCACAGCATGAGAGACATAATCAATGATATAAGAAAGCAATATCAATAATAAATCTTGCAAGTTTTTCACTTGTGGTGCGTTCAGAAACGGTACGATCGAGCAGCATGCTACGAGTTTATACGACCCAGTATATGCTGCACGGATAGATCAGCACCCGTTAGACCTTAGAAGACAGCACCAAGGTATTTTATTCCGTCAGCAACAAAATCAACGCAATCAGAATTGATTCATAAGTACTGCAAAAAGGGTATGTGTGATATCATCCTGACCATCTACTTCTACAGTATACTGCATTTTATGCTTTTAAGATCACATTGTCTGGATGAGTCTGGTGTTCGTTGAACTATTGCATTCGGATTGTTGATTTGTAAATTATAAGACTGTATAGCACAGTACTGTACAAAGGGCTTACAGCAGCCGCCGCTCGCTAACACGAGATTGGGAAAGTCACCCCCCCCCCCCCGGAACATTTTTACACTTGCCAAGCAGAATTTTTTAAAAATCGTAAAGAGGTGTTGCTGTCACATTGCAGCATTGGAATCAATATTGTATTATACTTTATTTTACTGTGCTGTGCACCTGTACTACTGTATACTGCATTTTTGGAGATCCTGCAGGAAGAAATGGTTTGAAAAAAGATGTATGCATTGTATATATGTACAGTGGGAAATATAAGCTGCAATTCAAATCTATATTCATACTATACTGAATACTGAATGAGCAGCAATTTACTTCTTTTGATGAAAAATAGTTATGTTTATCCTTTAAATAATACAGTGCAGTACATTACAGTGATTATACACAATAATGCTGAATATTCATGCGGTATAGTAAAACTTCTTTGACTCAATGAAAGAGGATGTATTCGTATGGCATAGTGCTGTATATATGGAGTGGAGTGTAGTAATGTATTATTTCTTGCAAAATAATTCCCTGCATTGGTTGTCATTTGTCAAAGGAACTTTTTGATATACAATTATACATGGTGCAGATTGATGTAAAAAAATGTACATATGCAACAGCATTTTTTCCTGTCTATACAAGATTTATAGGTTGACTCCCTACAACAAACCTTGCCCAAGTGTAAGAAAATTAACATTTTTCTTGAAAACTTATCCAAACCAACTTCTCCCAGAATCTTGCAAAAAATCCATAAGTTTTGGACAAGTTCCCGTGGATGAGTTTTGGATAAATATTGGACATCTTATCCAATTTTTCATACAAATTTGTCCCAGTTCACTGCAAAACTCATTTTTTATTATTAAAAAATCAAAATACTTTTGACAAAAGTTCATCAGCCCACTTAGAGATTAAATTCCTGTCTGCAGGATTTACAGGGAGATCCCTACATGCACACACCTCAACATGCTGAGAATTTGACTTAGGGACACATATTTTCCAAGAAAAAGAGCATAAAAAGGCCCAACCTCTGGACACTGAGTCAGCATAAGAGGACTTAGTGTGCTAAAATTGCAAATACATTTCAGGCCAAATTACAAGAAGCAGATATTTCCAACCCTAAAAAATGTGTAAGAAGAGTTCTTTGGCATTTCTCTCATCAATTTACCACCCATTGAAAAAATTATCTCCATAGTGACTTCCTTCTCTTTTGACTTCAATGTAACAGCCCTTTTGGAGGGGGTGCCAACATTTCAATTTAATTTACAGATGTATCAGTAATATCAGTATTCAATGCTCCAAAGTTTCTTATTAAGTTTAAATATATTGATTGAATCAGTTTCAATTGGAAGACAATTTTTTTCATGGAGTTAAGCTGGATATTTTGTCCATAAAACACCTATTAAAATTTGTGTATTGTAGGTCTAAGGGAAAATGAGACTTAACTTATAAACTCTTTTACAGTTTTACTTGGAGACACTTTTGATGCACCAATGATGTTTGCATCTTGGGGTCTCACTGATCACTGTACTTTGCAGTACTGATAATTTATTCAATAAATTCCCATGCATTTTACACCAGGCTTCCTATTACAAAATCCTGTTTATTCAACAATTTCAGGATTAGGTACATTGCTAGATATGGTATTACAGTGGTACCTCACAGAACAAACTCCTCGTAAAACAAACGTTCCACAATACGAACATTTTTTTTGAGGAAAATCATTTTTTTTCACCCTTGTAGTACGAACAAAATTTGTACTACAAACAAGGGTGAATGTTCACCCTTGTTCGTATTACGAACTTTGTACTACAAACAAGATTTTTTTTGTTTGTAGTGCAAAATTTTCATAAAATTTGTTGCATGTGAGGATGGTCATTTGACCGTTGTCACATAAAAAAATTTCTGTACTCGGAGACTGTGTTCTCAGAACACAGAAATTTTTATAAAATTTGTGGCATAAAATAATTTCTATGTTCTGAGACTGTGTTCTCAGAACGTAGAACTTCTTATAAATTTGTCACATGTGACGATGGTCATTTTACCGTAGTCACATAAAAAAATTTCTGTGTTCTGAGACTGTGTTCTCAGAACACAGAAATTTTTATAAAATTCCTGGCATAAAATAATTTCTATGTTCTGAGACTGTGTTCTCAGAACATAGAACTTCTTATAAATTCGTCACATGTGACAATGGTCATTTTACCGTCGTCACATAAAAAAATTTGTGGCATAAAAAAATTTCTATGTTCTGAGACTGTGTTCTCAGAGCACAGAACTTTTCATAAAATTCGTCAATAAAAAAATTTCTGTCTTCTGAGACAATCATCTCAGAACGCAGAAATTTTTAATGTCACAAAAATTGCTGTGTTCTGAGACAATTGTCTCAGAACACAGACATTATTCTGACATTGAGACAACAGTCATTTGAGTGTTGTCTCATGTGATAATGGTCGCACAAAAAACATTAGCAAAACTGTTTTTTTTCAAAAAATTTTTTTTTCTAATTTTCTGGAACGAATTAGACAATTTCCCATACAAGTCTATGGGAAATCGTGACTCATAGTACAAATGTATCACACTACGAACGTAGCTCTGGAATGAATTACGTTCGTAGTGTGAGGTACCACTGTATTTCATACATACAGCTATCCTTAGTATTTGTAAGTACCATATAGTTGCACTCACCAAATTAAATTAATAATTATTCAACTGCATTGGGGTTTGAACCCATGAGCTCCTGCATGGGAGTCCAGCCCATTAGACAGGTACAGCTAACCTGATGGGCCCTACTGTTGGTAATTGTACATTTATGCCAGCAGCTGTGGCATCAGACAAGTTTGGAGAACTTGTCCACCACACTGCCAGGAAAAAAAGTTTGTGCTCTGGTCAGCTGTGGCAGACAAGGTTGGAGAATTTGTCCACCAGAGCGCGACACCAAATTTTTTCCGGCAATGTGGTGGGAAAGTTCTCCAAACTTGGCAGACAAGTTTGGAGAACATGTCTGGAAGAGAAAACAAAATCTATGCCATGGTCAACAATGAGTTCTCCAAACTTGTCTGCCAGAGCAGAATTTTTCCTTAGCATAGAAGTACTAAAGGCAGATTTTAAATAACTTTCACCACAAGAAACATCATCTAACATTTTAGCGCAACATCTTATGATGAGAGGATCAAACAAAAGACATTTTTATGCAGATGCATAATTGATCAGTTCTCTATGCTGTCATGCAGCCAGGTCCAGTAAGAGTAAGGGATAAAAGAAACTCGGAACTATTTATTGAAAAGATCACACGCACTCAATTCAAAAAGTAAATTTAAGAGAATGTGCTTCTACAACTGCTGCATGTAGCGCAAGAAGTGGATTCCATGCAGATACCTTACAATACTGCCTTTCTCCTCATGTTCGCCATACCCTGTCATGTCTGAGTGTATTGTACATGCAGGTACCGTACCATGAAATCTACAAGTACGAGGGAGTCACCGGGAAAGAGCCGCAGAAGGAAACACACAGGGCGTTGCGCAAATGAGTGTACGGGGCATGTGACGCTTCCATGCGCTTGCGACTCCCCCTCCTTGCCAGTTGCGACTTCGGGCGCCGGCCTTCCCTCTTGGATCTCCATTACGCAAGCTTCCCGGACAGCAGCAGTTCTCGACCAGCGTTGCCAAACGACATACACTTCGAATAAAAAAAAAGTAAGAATAACTCGACGCATGCTGCGGGGCGTATGAATATAGAATCTATTTATATTTATAAACGATGCAATTTTAGGGCATGATGTAAAGCTAATTTGTAATCTTTACAGAGTCATTT